GAAGAATTCCTCAAACCTTGGTTTGTTTCTACAAATGATCTCCTAACATTCCCAAGCGAATACAAGTATGTTTTGATCCAATGATTATGTTCGAATAATATTCCAAAGCATACTTATAACAGAACAAGGAAGCTTGAAAGACTCAAGAGATTTATTCAAATAGAAACAAGAATATGTATGGTGACTTAAAGACGCATGATTATTTAATTTTTTACTTGTTAGAGATTTAGTAAGTTGAGCTCATCATAAAGGTAGGGATGACCAAGACAAACTAGCAACATGGCGTGAGATATTTTGAAAAACTCCATCTCGCATACTTAAATTTTGCAGAATGCAGAATCAAGTTTGGATGATAGAATTCTCCAATGAATGTGATTTTATGTTGCATAATGCTTGGTTGGATATACCTTGTGTTTTCCTTCATTTTATTAAAATGATTAGTGACAAACATACCTGAAGGAGGCTTATCCGATTTACCTGTTGGCGAGAGCTCGTAGTCCATTGAGCAGGACCTTTTCTTGTATTAAGCTTTTCTTTGCAGTATTCGAACAGTTACATGATCTTCTCCCCGTTAACCCTTCTTTGATTTATGTTGATTCTTGGTTGACGAATTGGTGTTCATTGGAGATGCAACTCAAGTTCCTCCTTGATTGTCTAGCGGCATGGCAAAGAGTTGTTCTTCTTTGTTTGTCAGTGATTCGCTAGCCGTCTTTATGTTTAAAGAAGGAACCTCATCGGTACTTGTATGAAAGCTTTATCTCAATGACTTAGGCATGTTGTCTTGCGACCATGGTCGTGACCTTACGAGACTCCATCGACAGACCTCCATTAATTACTGATGTTTGTTGATACGAAGATGCATGCCATGATGTAGTGGCATTTGTCATCCTAGTCCTTTGTCGTCGATGTGTGAGTTGGTCTTTTCGAAGGTGATGAAAGCAGGCATATTCTAGCTAATACGAGGTGGGTTGCATCTTGCTTCTCATCATCATCCTAGCTTGAGTCTTGGAAAGGCTCAATGCTATGTTGTCTTTGACTTTGCTCATGTCCTGTTGATTTGTCCATCCACTTTCTATGGGTGAGTGCTTTTTATGGCACTCGTCTTCTTCCTTCTTGTTCCATTACTGAAGTGGCGGTTTGGTTTGGGTTTGTAAGTTTATACCAAACCATGAACATACATAGCTTTTATTGATTTTTCCTATAAAATGTTAGTGGACACATACCCAAGGGATTACAATGAACTTGAAACACGGGTTGTTGTCCATAACTTTTGTAATTTTTCTCTATGCTAATGAAAGGATGGTTTTAGGATTACTTTAGCATAGATTTTGTTTATTAGCAAATTTTATGTGTTTGCTGCATTCTAGCATAGTTCAAGGCAAAGATAACTTGCAATAAAAGATAAGTGAATAGACCTTGATACTCACAATTCTTCCTTCCATGAAGAATGAGTTGGGTCTTCTTTGCGCAAAGTTATTGGAGTTCATCACATCCATTGATTCATCTTTGATGTGAATTCATCTCTTGACTTACCCAGATTGAATTTGAGAGTTTTCTACATGGGTTAGTCCAACAAAATATCCAGTGTCTACACAAGCAACTTTTAGTTCAATAACCAAACTAGACTCCATGTATAATTTTGATTAAGGAAGGCGTTTCAACCTAAGCACCACGCATAATTTAAAAGCCAATGAAGTATGTCGAGTACTTCCAAACTAAAGCATACTATAGCAGACAAAGATAGCATGAAAGCACTATAGAGATTTGTTCAAATAGAGATGAAAAAAGCATGATCATGGTGAGTAATGTATTTTTTTTAATAAAGATGCAAGCAAAATGGATGTATGCAAGGAACTAATCATGCTATGGATTTGAAATGAGACTAAGCGGAAGTGTATGCATGGATTATTCAAAGTAAACATGCAATGGAATGCAAAAATTAAAAAGATAACTACTCATTAAGTTTAAAGTCCATGAGCAAGACTATCTCACCTTTCTTGATCATACTTACCATGACTCACAGGATGAAATTTGTGAGTAGTGCAACGTCTGTTTCCATCACTTGAGATGTGATTTGAATTCTTATGACGTCGACCTTTTTCTCCAATCTACACATGGTTAGAGAATATATATATATCTATACAAACCTATGAGATGGCAGGGTTCTAGTGTTGATGGATCTTGAATGTTCAGACACCCTAGGGTTCTTCAATGTTTCTTCTTTTCTTGTGGAAGCTTGCCGGAAGGTCAAAACGGTGTTTGTTGTCCTGTCTTATTCCACAATTCAACAGAACAGGGGTAATCCTACTAAAGCTAGTGGTATGTTAATGATCTAAATCTTTATGCCAATTGTTTTCCCGGCAACGGCGCTAAAAATACTTGTTGGTATTTATAAGTGCAAATAGAATATGAAGGATTCCGCAAGCACACAGAATACCATTGTAGCATTTTACGGGGAGTATTCCAGGTATCGTTATTTATATTTTACCACAGGGAAACAATGGAGTAAAGATTTATTGGATAACAAAGGAATGTCTACTAATCAACATACCAGCATAGCTAAAGCATGGGTAAATGTAATGATAGGAATAAAGCATAATGACACTCAGGGGATATATCACTAAGATAATGTAAACTAGTCAACTCGGGAGAACAACGGGTAAGGTAGATTCCTATGATATTCTTATTACATGGTCAAAGTATATATACACCCAACTATAGCTAAGACTAACTCTACTCTTATGCACTTCAGGACGCCGCTTAGACAATAGAGCATCATGAAGGCTAACACGACTACGATCCTACAATTTAAGAACCTGCTCAATTCGGTATATACTACAAAGGATAGATGGGGTTGTCACCTCCCGCTGCTACCACACAACCAGGGAACAGGGTGTACTCACAGGCAGAGCATCGTATAAGCACCATGCTTACACAAGGCTCGGCTACTTAGCCCAACCAATAAACTAGCAGGCTAAGCGCTATATGAACCCGTACATAGGAGTAATGATAACCATAACTAAATGAGATATATATTCAAAGTAAGCATAGCCATCTAGATAGAAATATGATGAATTGATAATAAGTCATGCAAGATGTAGAAATGAAGATACAAGGCTTTGTTGAGCCTCTAAGACTAGATCCAGAACTTGAGCATGAGCCCAACTCGACCCTCACTCCCGAGCTACTAATCTACTACATTGGAAAGTTCTAGACCTATTCCTCATGGCGTGTGTTGATCTGAATGAGAGGTATGAATTAGTGTTTCCAAGATGGCTCCAGGGAGGGGGTAGGGGCTGCTATATATAAGGGGTAGCAACAAGTTTGGACCCTTGGATCAAACCGATTTAAAAGAATTGTGTAGATGCAATCCCTAAAGTGGTGGAGAACCGACGTAGCGAGACGGAGGCTAATAGGTGGGCCCATAGGCCGACCGGCCTATAGGTGGGGTTGGCTGGCCTCACCTGGCAGCGTCTCGCCCTCTGCTTCGGTGGTTTGCCTTCTAGTGCCTTCTAGAGTCTTCTAGAGTTATTTTCGTCGTGGATAATTACGATTAATTCTGATGTTTGGGTCCACCTTGATAGTTTTCTGAATAAATCCTCCTACAAACACAGATTCACCAAAACTTGTGGAATTTATTAGTTTAAACCCCTAGACCTATGTTTGGTAATGGAATTAAGTACATATGCAGGATATGTTGACGGTTTATAATTGATGTTAATGACCGTCAACGGTCACCGAACCACCAAGTGTTAGTCGACATAATGGGGACTAGTGTGCCGGCAAGCACGTGAACCTCAAGAGAAAAATTGTGTGTTATCTTGTGATCGGATTTCTCCCGGTGATTGGTTGGCTTTCATATTGTGATTGGTTCATTCCTCGACGCGGCGGTATAATCACCCTCCTCACTCCTTTACATTCTTGCAAACTAGTTGTGTAGCAAGCTCTTTAGTGTAGCTAGTTTTGAGAGCTTGCTAGCTAGCTTAGTTTCACCTAGTGGAGCTCTTTAGTGTAGTCTTGTTGAGAGCTCTCAGTGAGTAGTGACTTAGCTCTTGTTGTGTGCATAGTGATCATAGTAACTAGAATTGTTTGGATAGGTGGCTTGCAACCCTTGTAGACCTAGAGCAAATTATATTTTGCCGTTTAGCGTACTAACAAATTGCTCTAGTGATTTTGGAGAGTTTTAAATAGGCTATTCATCCCCCTCTAGCCATATTAGGACCTTTCAGCGCCGAAGAGCAACAGGAAGGTTGCTCGGTCAGGTCCAAACACTATACTTCCTCTCCGGCGGTGCCACCAACATGATCTTCACGTTTAGCGGCGCGGCCGTGGCGATCTCACCGCTCATGCGCTCCACGGTGCTAGGGAAAATGGTGGTGCCACTGCTGAGCACAACATTATCGTAGATGTCACTATGGATGTCCACATCACACTTAGTGATGGAGCTGTACGTAGTCTCGTCTCTCATGGATGGCGAGCGACTCCATCCTGACCAGCAATGGTTATTAACCACTTATTCCTTCCCCTTAGGAATTTTACTTAGAGCTAACTCCAATCCCTCACATGCAACTGCAAATTCAACAAATTGGCTATCTAGAGTTCCAGACTCTGTTCCCTGAAAAAATGTTGCTTGATTTCTTTTTAGCCATCTAGAGTTTCACTTTTCGCTGACCCCCACACGATGCTAGAGGATTCAAGAGAGAATGCACCTTGAGTCGATGACGCGCCACCTAGTTCGCCGCCCCTCTAGGAACCCAGAATCATCACTGTTTTGCCCGACGGTGAGGCAATCCGAGAAGGGGCTCCCGTCTTTGCTAAGCTAGTAGATTCTCTGCTCACAAGGAGTCACGATGAGCGCCACCATGTCCTTCCCCTTCACCGACAAGGAGTCTCTCTAGAGGGAGGAATTCATTAGGGATTCATCACACAGCCCACGCGATGCCGCCCCCAGCTCTCTGCTCATCGATTGAGCTCCTGACTCCCGTCTATACGAAGTCGAATTACGCCTCGTCATCCATGTACGCATCCCTATGGCCCATCCCCACCATCACGCCCCTATGATGTGACAGCACCACCATGCTCGGGAACACCGCACGCGTTGTGTCATCGCCAGTGAACCCGACCTTCACCGTGCTTGTCCCATTGTCGCACACCACTGGCAATGCCTCATCACCAAGATAATCCGCCATGGTGAGGGGAAAGGTTGTAGGGTCAAGATGGCGGACTAGAGAGGGTGAATAGTCCTTTCTAAAATTAAACGCGCCAGCTAACTGATACAAATGCGAAATTAAAACTATTGGTCTAGCCAAGACTACACCCCTCTATCTAAGTTCACAAGCACCTTATAAAGATCCTAATTAGGCAACAAAGGTGTTGGGCTAGCTAAAGCTCACCTAAACAATCCTAGTAGCAAAGTCACACAAACCTATGCAACTAGTACTTTAGCAACCGGGGGAGCTCCTACACAAACTAGTAAGCAAAAGCACAAAGCCACCTAAGCTCACTAGCAATGCTCAATAACAAGGCTACACAAGCCAAATTAGAGAGCTCAAATTACTTAGCTACACAAACTAAGCAATATAACTAACAAGGCTACTCAAGCCAAATTAGTTACGCAAGGGAGCTACTTCTATGCTACACAAGCAAGGAAGGTAACTAGCAAGCTACACAAGCTAACTAATTACAAGAGTAACTACACAAGCACAATAGAAATGAAAGTAAATACAAGCTTGTGTAAAGGGGATACAAACCAATGGGAAGACAAGGATGACACGGTGATTTTTATTACGAGGTTCACGTGCTTGCCAACATGCTAGTCCCGTTGTATCGACCGTTCACTTGGTGGTTCGGTGGCTAATTGGCACCATACCAAGCCCACACATTAGGTGCCGCAAGAACCCCACAAACCAAGTGAGGGTAGCTCAATGACACGCTCAACTAGAGTTGCTCTTCATGGCTCCCGCGGGGCGAGCACAACACCCCTCACAATCACTTTTTTAGAGCATTGCACAATCTTCTTTGCGTGCTTCGACGGAGACCACCACCAAGCCGTCTAGGAGGTGGCAACCTCTAAGAGTAACAAGCACCACCTGCTTCCAACTTGGTCACCTAATGCCACTCGATGCAATCTCACAATGAAACGCACTAAAATCACTCACTCGCAATGGATTCACACTTCTCGCAAGCACAAGTGAGTTAGAGGCTTCTCAAACCAAGCACACACAAGGGCAACACATCCCCAAGGTGCTCAACCTCAGCCAAGCCCAAACTCTACCTCTATTTATAGCCCCCAAGCCAAATAGAGCCGTTGAAGCCAAGGAACACATTTCTACGCGGACACCGAACAGTAACGTGCGGGCACTGGACATAGGGTGGCGGTGCCCAACGGTTGAATTGCAATGGCTATTTGAAACTAGCCGTTGGGACCCTGACATCGGACATAGGGGGCGGTGCACTGCCCTAGGGGTGGCGGTGCCACCTGCCAGCCAAAACCCAAACCCCACGCTCTCGAGAAAAATATGGCGATGCCAGGCAATGGACAGTCATGTGACCATGGCAGTGCCCACTTTTGCTCAAACCTGATTTCCACCACTTTAATCTTGTAGAGCATTTTATTAGCTTTCTAAAAAGTCCTAGATCATCAAAATTGGAGTTCGAAGCTAAGGGTTATGCCCAAAATACGAAAGGGTGTCGCTGTAGTTTTTGGCCACTGCCCCTGGCACTACCCTAGGGTGAGGGTGCACCACCCAGGGGTGGCGGTGCCCTGTCCGGTGCACACCAAAAAGGGTGGTGCCATCCTCTACAAAGGCTGCAAGTTGGCTATGAGTTAGGTTGCAGCTTTCGACCCCTGGACAACCAAAACATTGCCCTTTTCTTCTCCTTTTCAACACCGAATTGATCCAAATCAACTCCAACAACTTCTACTTTGCAAATATGCCAACCAAAACATTGCCCTTTTCTTCTCCTTTTCAACACCGAATTGATCCAAATCAACTCCAACAACTTCTACTTTGCAAATATGCCAACACCACCAAGTGTCCACCATCTTGTGCATGTGTGTTAGCATTTCACAAACATTTTATCAAAGGATTAGCTCTCTTCTCACCACGCCAACGATCCAAAGTTAGATCACTCTAGTGCCACTAGATGACCGATATGCAAACAAGTTTGCCCCTCTTGATAGTACGGCCATCTATCCTAAACCCGGTCTTGCACTTCTCTACACAACCTTTGACCGGTGAAATGAAATACCCTATAGGTTATACCTTTGCCTTGCGCATTTCATTCTATCTCCTTCAATATTCATGCAACACATGCACCAACCATATCGTCACGTGACCTTGTTGGTTCATCGATCTTGACCTCACTTGCTTTTCACCGTTGCCTTCGTCCATCGGCTCCAAGTCCTGCTCAAGCTTCACTGCCATGCAGTCTATCGCTCCAAAGCCTCCAACTTTCCCTTCACGCTTGTAATTGGTCTATCAAACCAAGTCTTGTCATGATCTTCTCCACCTTAGTCACATGACTCAATGTCATGTCTCATATGCAATGAGCTCCTTCATCACATGTGTGAGCCTTGCAACAAATCCAAGCCATCTTCACCGTCATGGCATGAGTTGCTCACACAAGTGTACCTGTGGACTAATCACATGTGTATCTCACATTTAAACACATTAGTCCACCTAGGTTGTCACTCAATTACCAAAACCAAATAAGGACCTTTCAAAGGCCAAGGATGAAAGCAATGACGACGACGCGGCGTACAACACCGGATCCTGCTTGGTCGAACTCGACACCGGATCCTACTACGTTCGGGGCCCGTGTGTCCATGAGGTCCAGCTTGGACAGCCACGTAAGCTAAACTAGAAGGCAAAACAACTATAGGGTTTAAACTAAACCGTTTGCAAAACTTTAGTGTGCTTGTTACCATGTTTCATAGTTCAGGGGGTAAAGTAGACACAGAAGCAAAGGTTAGGGGGTTATGTAGACTTTTTCCTTATGTTTTTTCTACGTTGCGCGGTGAGAATCATGGGGCTCGTTTGGATGAGACCCTAGAGCTTTTTTGCCTGGCTCCGATGCTGCCTATGCCTTGCCTATGTTCCATTTGGATGTAGCCCTGGTTTCGTTCCTGGACCAGGCAAGTGCATGAGCAGCCAGGCAACTAAATTTGAGTGCCTGGCTACAACATCGTGTTGCCTAGGATTAGAGCATCTCCAAGAGTTTTTTAAATCCTTTCCTAATCCTTTGTTTTTAGTAAAATGAGAAAAAATCCCTCTGCAATAATTTCTAATACATTCTTCTAATCTTTTAGAACTTAGGAAAAGTCATCCTGTTCCGTGTAAAGTTACGTGCTTCCAAGTCGCGCGAATCTTCGCTCCCCGCGCGTGTTTGTCGGCCAATCTAAATGTGGAAGGACGTGAAAAGAATAAAGAGTACGAAAGAGTTCCTGATGCAAATGTACAAGAGAGAAAGAATATATAAAAGTGGTTAGGATAATTTAAAAATGGTATAGGATTCCTAACATAAAGTTGTTTTTATATTTTAGGAGTGGATTATTAGAAACTCTAGGAGATGGTCTTCTTTATTCCTTCCGATACTTTTTTGGAGTTGTAAAACTCTATGTTTTTTAGAAGAAAATATTGTTTACTCTTGGAGATGCTCTTAGGGGTGAAAACCGTATGGGTATTTTTCGACCGTATTCGAGACCGAATCTGTTTAGAGGGGTTTAGATATGTCCGTATCCGAGTTTGAATATTCAACATCCGATACCGTATCCGTATCTGAATACTCAAATCGTATATTTATGATGTCGATATGTAATCATATACAATCCAACATGGTTGGCACTATGTATATTCGAATCAAATCCTCATAGAAATATGAAAATAAATATAATATCAGTATCCGTAGTATCAGTATCCGTGCGTATCCTATCCTTTCATCCCTACCTGGATACGTCAGACTACTGCTGTCTCCTGTCTTATTTTCTTTTCTTTTGTCCATAGTTTATCGTTAAAATGAAGTCATTTACTTTTTAATCCTATTTTCTGTTTGTCTCAATGTCGGTTATCACGGCACCTTCGTTATTTTTTTCCTATCTGTCCTCAATTACGTGTATAAATTATAATAAAATTTTATTTTATTATGTATATTATTAATTTCTTAAAAAACATTGGTTTACAGGAGTATTGCCTTTCTATATTATCAGGGTGTATATTACCCAAATTATATCAACGTTGTATACACATGAAAAATGTATGGTCTCTATGTAAGCTTCCCAGGCACAAACCTCCAAATAGACCATCTCTCTACTTGCCTGGCTAGGCAGATTTCATTGAAATTCCAGGCAACTCTCAAGCAACATTTTTTACCAGGCAAATCGTCCAGATCTCCAACTAAACAAGCCCATGGTATCACAATGCCTTTGGTGAGATTTTTATATTCTCGCGGTGGGCCGGCTGCATATTCGATTTTAATCACAGATAGCTCTCCCAGAAATTTTATAGAAATATGTTCTTTTTATAAAAATATATATAATGGAAAATTTTCTTCCATTCCGTAGAGGCCTAAAATGCCATTGTAGAAAAGAATCAAAAAGCGGTCGCAGATAGACCTGCTTATGGCAACTCGAGCCGCTTAGAAAAACTCGACCCGCTAAATCTCTAATGCATCGGATCAGGTCAGATGTATGTTTTGACTCATGGACCGACCTAGCCCTAAAAAACATGACCTAAAATAGAAAAAAAACTCGAGAAATAGCCCAACCTGACCTAATCCGCCATTATGTTGGGTCAAACTCAGGTCAAATATTTTGACTCAACCATTTTTTCTGGTCCAACCCAGATTAGTGTTTGATCAGGCCTAGTCACATAATGCTCAGCATCTTATTCTAGGTCCTCAATATTAAAGTCTCACTATTAAAATAAATAGTGGTTCTTTTGTGCAGTCTTTCCCACCCAGAGGTTGAGCTTAGTTGAGGCCATGGGCCATGTCCGCCTTATCTAACGGATTCTACACTAAATAAATAGTAATTTTAGCATTGTTCATGGTGATTATAGCTTAGTTTAGCTAGACTGGCCCATTAATAAATGGGTCTAAGCCACTCAACATCTTTCTTGACCAATAAGACCTTTGTAGCCAGGTTCATGTAAGGATGAGATCGGAGGAGGGTGTTTTTAAAAACATGTTA